CTTCAAGTGAAGTCAATAGGTTGCGAAATAAACTGTACATCTAGAATATCATCCACTATTTAGATATCAAGTTGTTTTATTTAATACCAATTGGCCTTTTTCCTACTCATGGCAACGCTAATCTTTAGTGTTGAGATCTATTTATTTTCATTTCATCAGAAATCTAATCTAAATCTCTAAATCTAAGAAATCTAATCTTTAGTGTGCTGAAGTGGAAAGTAGCATGGAAATAATAAGCCACCAAATGGTAATATGCTACTCAAACTGGACTTCCTGCTTCCTTGTAACTGACAGGTTATTGGTTTTTAGACGTAATGGAGAATAGACCTGAGAAATTGGATCTGTGAGCAGTTTGGCAGGAGCTGCTGATACTGGAGGAAATCAGGTGATGAGGCACAAAACAAAGGCCGTTTGATGCAATTGCGATCCATATTGCATTATGTAATATGTTTGTGTCTGACTTCCTGCAGCCGATGACATTTATCTTCGCCGGCTATTTTGATTGGAGTGCTTCCAAACTCGTCCTCACAGAGTTATGTGCACAGCACTCAAGACGCATGTATACGTTAGCAAAGCATGATTCGGGAGAGGCTTTTGCTTTCTCGGGCCCTCGGCAGAGAGTATTGAACAGTTTATCTGTTATATAAGTTATTTTTGCACATTTATGCGAGCGTGTTGTATAACCTGTCGGGCCGTAATGCGACGAGATTCTCCCCCCCATGTGTGCGTTCGCAAGTCTGTGTATGGGTTTGTACATCTTCCTGTATATGTGAGAGGCACTTCGTCGTGACAGCTTCCAGATTGCTCTCTGCAACACGCTGTTACAGCTGCACCATGCTCTGTTTTCTGTTCATGTTAAAGTCCCAGCTCGGCTTTCACCATGACATCTGTAATTTGTGAAAGTTGAGTTTAAACCCACAAAAAAACAGTTAATATTCTAGTGACACGATGAGAGGATATAGAGAATGGATAAATATTCTGTAGATGTGCAATCTTTTTCCCTTCCCTTAGAAACTAGTGACATGGCTGAATAGCAGCTTGTGTTCAAAGCTGCTACTGTTAAAATTCCTTCGGTTATTACTTAATAAATCACAGTATCTCTGCAGTGAAGTTTATTTTTGTAATCTTTTAGACAAAAGTACTTTATTCTTTGACACTGCACTAAAAAACAGTAAATGGGAGAATTGAATTTTTTTGCCATTTCGAACCCTCAAGATTATAAACACATTATCAGATGGTAAACAGCAAAGCATCATGAGCCAGATGCTGTTTGCGTCTCCTTTTGTCTTCCAGCTGCTCTCAAAGCCAACCGGAGGTCCTTTTCCCATAAAAACAAGATGACTTTCTCCAGTAAAACCATTAAAGGGCCGTTAAATGTTTGGACTCAGTAACTGTAGCCAATCTGCTAATGGCCCTTTCCAGTGATTTCTCATTCTCCCTTTAAGTTTTACTGGAAATGGCAATTATGTACCACATTTTTATTCCTTAAGAGAAAACAGGTGTGCTATGCCAGATTGTTGTTATTTTATTTTTTTGGGTTTTATTTGCAATAATTTTATTAGTTTGTGCTGCATGATATTTACTAAAACACACACACACTGGAAAACATTGGAACTGTTCATTTCATTTGACTTTGACTTTGCTGTCACTGTACAGACAGAGCTAGTACAATGGATTTCACAGCATCCGTGAGGGCAGAACAAACACAGCAGTGCATATCAGTCCCTGGCCTTATACGCCCTCAGAGCTTTGTGCGCGCTTGCTCATTCATTCACTGTTATGGAAAGCAAACTTTATACTTGAAATAGATCTCAGATAAACACAGTCACCTCAAGATCGGGTAGTGCGCAAATCGAGTGTGACGCCATGTGTGGAGGCGGGTGTGTCTATCAACTAATATAATCATATTTGTCTTTGTGGCAAACGGTTACTGAACGTCCTGTCCTCTTGACCCTGAAGAAAACAACCCTGCTTCCCAGAGTGTGTGTGTGTGTGCACGTGTGTGCACGTGTGTGTGTGTGTGTACCAAACACCATCGTGTTTTGTTTTTTTTAACATGTCCATGATTGTCTTTCCCGTCTCGCACTGAAGTGCATCTCTCTTTCCCTTTCAGTCGTGACCTCACTTTCATCTCTGTCCCCTTTCCTATTTCCCTTGCTATTCCCACCCCCTCAGTGTGTGTGTTTGTGGTGAGGTTGAGGCTCTGTGCATTTCAGGATCTGTTATATAACTGTTGTGTAAGGTTGAAGGGAGGGAAATTCAGGGTAGACAGGGTAATCGAGTGAATGGAGGGGGGAAAAAAGCATGTGGTGAACAAGGTGAGCAATTAAAGCCAAACAATAGAATGATGTCGGTCACAAACGACTGAACAGACGTCATAGTGGGTGTCTAATTCCTTGGCTTTTGTATGGTGCCTGTAGAAAGAACATAGTCAAAACTTTGGATTAAAACGCCAAAAACTGACATGACTGGGTTGAAGACAACACAGATGTGATTGGTTTCATTTTCTACTGTAGCTCTTCAAGTCAAGAACTTTTCATTTAGTTCCTTTTATTATAGTGTGCTTTGTCATCTTCATTTCAGCCTTTCTCAAAGCTTACTGTCTGCGCTGTGCAGTCTGCAGGCTTTTGGTTCTGTAAGGCAGCAGGTTGGCTCAGCAGGGCTTTGACCTGATGCTAATATGAACTCAAACTGATATAATGCTGAGATAATGATTAACATGCTTTGGGAACATAATGCTTTGGGAATGAGTTCACCAGTATTGGTCATAAATTCAAGTATTGACTGACTTTGATTTGAAAAAATATATAAATAAAGTTGATTATGGAGCCGGGGGAGTGTTTATAGATAACTGTGTGTCAGCATATTTTAAAGATGTGATGATTTCTATTGGATGAGGGCAGACTTTGACCTGGTGCCGACACACGAGGATTCACGGACACGTGAATTAATAGTTGTGTGGAAATTCCTCATGAAAGCCTCACGACGATAGCAGGGGGGGGGATTTATATTCATATTGGACCTGTTTTGGGTTTTTTAAATCTGTAATCTGGCTGTAGTCTGTATCTTCAAATCTCAAAAAGGTTGTGAACCCTTGAAAGCTGTGATTGTATTGAGTTTTTTTCCACTCTTAACTTGATTTCACTGTTAGCGGTAACATGAGACAGACACGCTAAGGGCTGAGATGAGCTGGTGTCATTAGCAGCCAGATTGAGAAGTTTGTTATCGCACTGATGGACTGAAGGGGCGTTTTATGTAAGTTGTTTTTCAATTCGCAGTGAGCTCATAGCAGCCTCCATTTTCCATTATGTTAAGGATGCGTGTCTGTCTGCCCGTGCGCATGCGTGTCCACGTTCTGATGCTGCCAGGTATCATGCACTGAACATGCTTTCTCTGTGCGCGTGTGTGTGTTGGCAGCATTTCCTTGTTTGTCCTGGCCAATTCTTAGCTGGAATGCCATCTACATTTCCATGTGTGCATTGGATATTTATGTATTGATTCATATTCTTATGTGAACAGTTGTCCTCTAAAATGTGTGTGTGTGTGTCCTGTCTTGTGTTTCATAAGCCATCCATATTTATGATCCAGCTCTTACATAAGCCCCAGATCTGGTTCAGTGTGTTTCTGGCAGAACAACTGAGAGGGAGAGGAGGAGGAGAGAAGAAGGTGAAAGTGAAATCCAGACAGATTGAGAGAAGAAGAAACAGAAGTGGAACTTAAGACAAGTTTGCAAAAAAACACTGATGAATTGAAATTGAGCAATCGGAGCGCAGTTTGTGATTTTTTTTTTGGATTGAAAACTGTTTCAACTCTTGCACTTTAAGAGGAACTTTGTTCGTTGTATTTGAAAACTTAAGTCCTGACAGGCTGCCATCCACCGGTCAAAGTTTCCATTTTAAACACAGCAATGATTGGAAAGAAGCTCAAAAGCAATAACTACAAAATCGAATAATTGCTAACAAAACTTGTGACCAACATTATATTTACCCATTTAAATAAAGTTTAATTATTTGTGGCGGCTAGGAGCTGCTAGCTGAGCAGAGAGACCAGGTCATCTGCTATTTGGAAGGTTAGTTCTTCAATTTCTGGTTGCTCCAGTCTGTTTTGTCTGTACATGGACAAATGTGTTTACCAGCACAAAAGAGAAAAGGTGAACAAAACAACCGAATGGGAGGATCAGCACGCTCAACTTGAGATTGCTGCAATCACCTAATAGTTTAACGATTTATGACACCAGCAGTTCTAATTAATAGGTGTGCAGCTCAGTGTAGGCTCATTTCTGAGAACAGAGAGGAGGTGGCTCCACATGGCTAAAAGAAACCGCTTAATGATAATGAGTGCCGTGAATATGGAAGTTTCTAATGTATTAGTTAATTTTAGTTATTTGAGATACAAAGCTGTTTCACGCCATTTCCCCGGAGTCATCAAAGTATTATAAAACACTCTGTTATACAAGCCTTTCAGCTGTTGTTACTTTGCAGACATTGAATTTTTCCAAAATCCTCTGCGGCTCTGACCTTCATTAGCGCTGCATGCTTCTCGTTTGTGAAAGTAGCGCCTGAAACAGTTTGATTTTTGATTTTGTGTTTTCCCCCCATATGTGACGAGGGAAGTAGCAGGTAGCCACAAGATTAAAATCACTAACAGGTTAAGTAAATAACCCTTCAATCTTCTGACCTGCACAAAATTAAGATGGTGGCGTTACAGCTGTGGTTTGTCAGTCTCTTACGTGCAACAGTTTGACATCACCATTAAATTCAGACTGCAAAGCAGGTGAAGATCTGTGGGAACTCCATTCAGGATCTATTTTATATTATATGAGTTTTAAACTTTTTTTTACTCGTCGCACTGGATACTACATCTTCATTTTCTTCTTGCATTGTTTATATAGCAAAAACATTTTCTTAGTAATCTTATTATGAAAGACTGATTTATAAACTGCTAATAATCCAGATTTTGTTGCTAAACCTGAATTGACAGTTCTTGTCCTCCCCTTGCAGACAAGTCCCACAGCGCCTCCTTCAGCTCCGAGAATGAGGCTCAGGGCGGCAACCCTGCTGTGTGGCAGTGCACCCCTCCCCCATCTACCTCACCTACGGCGGAGACGCCGGCTCACCCTCCCTCCTCTCAGCCCGGGTCAAGACCCCACTCCAGGCCGGCAAGCCAAAGCCCCACCCCTCCCTCGGCCCTGACAGGAACCAAGAAGAGGAGCTCCAAACCTGCGCACATGAGACGCAACATCAGGTACAGAAGACACGGAGTTAACTCTGGTCTCAGTCACAGTTCAAACAGAGTCAACTAAAAGAAACCAATTTCTATCATGTCCTATTTAAGTTACGATCAGCTTTGTCACAAAAGGCAGAATCCATTTTGCAGCTTAGGTACTAATTGAATGTTGAATTGAAGATTAAGTGATGCAAACACACACATCAAAGAAACACACTTCAGTATCCATTTTCTACTGGTGATTCAGCGTGGATGGGTGCATCCAGCCTCATGCAACATCCCACTGTTTTCAGCAGTTTTTTCTTCTTCTTTTAAGAAGCAGCTATGAAAACAGATGTTCAGATATCAGACGGTTTCTGGGATTGCTTACTTTAGACTCATTTTAAACCAGATCTTTAAAAATGAGCCTTGAGTTATTGCTTGCCAAACAGTAACCAGTCAACCTTGAGATAAAAGCGATTGCTGCGCAATCCCTCGAGTAAGTTGCTGCTGAAGGGCAGAGCAAACCAACAGTCACTCTGCTTATGCAACTCGTACTGTATTAGTTTTAACACCCACTGCTGGCTGGATAATAAGATTTGTCCTACTGTACATATATATCCTTTATTTTTCTCCCTCTACTCTTCCCTCATCTTAAATTTCATTTTGAAACTATGTTCCAGTTACTATTGAAATCTATCACTGATGATACATATGCTCAGTCTGCAGCTGTATTACTCCAGGCTGCAAATAAACATGGTATAGCTCAACCCCAAATATGCTGGTGCCTTTACATAACAGCCAGTTTAATATAATATCAAACATGTGTCATGGATAGAAGTTCTGGGTTTATTCCCTGCCTTTACATACATATGACATATTTAACTATTTGTGTAAGAGGTGTAGGACTTTTTGTTTTATTTGCCAGTTCAAAGTAGTACTTTTTTTTTCAACTATGATTTGTTTGTTCAATATTTCTTTTTTGAATAATTAAATTATTCAGCTTTACAATTTAGTTAGTGTAAATATAGTGTAAATAACTTTATAACGCTTATTATTAATAAAAAGCGTAGCATTATTGAGGCACTGCAAATTATTTAATCCCAACATTAGTTGGAGGCTATAGCAAAACTGAAACCCGTTTGTGTAAATGTGAACACTGCACTGAGTTCTCTAAATATCTTCAATTCTTTTGACATCTTAGAAAAGAATTAGCCCGGAGACACAATGTTCATTTCATCGTCCCATATTCCAGTAAGCTTTTTACCCACTGTGGAAATATAGGATCCAGAAACAACATCAGCAAACACTTAATGCATTTAGTGTGCTAACAGTACAGCAGAAGTCGGGTATCTACCTGCTAGCCTAATCAGTCAGAGTTGTGGTGAAAATTTTCTCTCTTCCAGAGAGAGGTTTTGTGGTCAGATCGGACAAAAAAGGACCGGTTTGGCCAAAATGACAAGAGTAAAAGTCAAACCTGAGAACTCTGTCCCAGCTGTCATGCATGGTGGCGGTACCATCATGCTCTGGAGCTGTTTTACTGCGAGTGGTACTGGCACGTTGCACATAGTGGAAGCAGATCAACAGCTAAATGGTTGAAACTTGGATACAGTTGGGTTTTTACAACTTGACAATGATCCCAAACACAAATCAAGCCTGGTTTTGGTCTGTTTAATGACTGACTGTAATGTAAAGTCATTACATTAGAATGGCATTCCCAAAATCCTGACCTCAACCCTATTGAAAATTTGTGGACTGCACATAAAAGCTAGGTCTGTTCCAGGAAACCAATTTAAATTAACGCATTTTAAATCTACCAAGAGATCAAATATTCAGCCAGAAGTATGACAAGAATACTTGCTGAAAGCTACCAAAAGGGTCTGGTCGAGGGACATTTAACTAATTTTTAAGTTATGTATGCTGTCCAATCATTCCATCCTAGAAAAAGAACAGACTGAAGAAATCAAGCTAACTTTCCCATGTTGTTCTAGCAGGTAGTGTAAATCGGGTTGTCCTTCAACATGAGGACACAAAACAAGTGGGGTTCTTCGAATGAGCCTAGCAGTAATGGCAGTAATTCTTCCTCCAAAGCAAATCAAAGCATTTAAAAAGTCTTTGATAATTCTTTGTGGCTTTTTCGCTGAGTCACATATTTCACAGTGCGCAGCTCTCTTGGTTCCAATTTATTATTAAACGCTGACTAATGTAGCTTTAAAGAAAGCAATGATGTGACTATCATAATTAAGCCCCTGCGAGTGTGAGAAGAATGATTCATCAGCAATCGAACACGTGCACAGTGCAAACTGTATGGTTACAGTTTGTGAAATTCTAAAACTAGAATAAAAGCAAACCGATTTGTTGCTGTGTTTGCGCAGGAAGTTACTGAAGGAGCATCAGTTGGAGGCAGTGACCAAAGCGGCCCAGCAGGAGGAGCTGGAGAGAAGGCGCCGTCTGGAGCAGCAAGGACAACAGGATTTCCCTGTACCGCTGCTGCCAGAATACACAACTGGTGAGAGTGTGTACACAAACATGCAAACTCGCTGCTCCATCAGACAGTAACTGCCTAAACTGTACAACAAACCGCAATTTCAAGTTTGTATCCAGGTTCTGAAAAACCGACTCTCGATTTTGTTTGCTTTTTGTTCATCTCACAGCTGTTTTTTTCTATTTTCATCCCTCATTTGTCCCCAAATCTTCTTCCAATACTAACGTCACCTACGTAACCTTTTCTCCAGGCGATGTGACAACGCGTGCGTCGTCATCGGCAACGTCAGCAGCATCGCAGCAAGAAGTGAACTCGAGCAGACGGGAGGTGATCTGTGTGAACTCAGGCAGCACAGGCATCAGTGAAGACGACAGCAAGGCTAACATACCCACCTCTGTTAGCCCACAACACACACACAAAACAGGTAAGAGACACAGACAGAGGAAGGCAAAAAAAAAGTAATGCCAAGTGCTTTAGACCAACCTAAACCAGCAGCTCAGTTCAGTTTGAACAAAAGCTTTTATTCTTATTGTCAAAGGACATCACTTGAAATCAGATGTTTCTCAAAGCAAACAGAAAAAACTAACAGAAACAAGATGTTTGTCTGGTTCCAACGTCCCTTTTTTGTGCGTTTTATGACTGAAGAGTCGTTACTTAGCTGTGTTATTGCACGCTGTTGTTGTTTTACATTTCAAGTGAATACTTCAGGTTTCTTTCAGCCAGCATATTTCCTTTTCAGTCTTTAGGAGAAGTATTCAAAAATGCTTGTGTTAAAAAAAAAAAAAAAAGAGATTAAAAAAAAAAAAAAAACACTAAAAAGGAAAAAAAACGTGGATTGGAAACCAAAACATTAAAGCTGACTAAACACAGTTTGCATTTTGTGGACAAAGACTTGGAGTACTGACCCTTTTCTTGTAATCCCAGGGTGTATTTTAAATGTATCATGGAATAATCGTAGAGGGGACGGTCGCCTAACTGGACAAAACCTTTAAAAAGCAGAATCCTTACTGTTACAAAGCCCAAACACCACAGTGTGCAGCAACTTTTAGTTTTTCGGGACATTCAGGATTTTAGTGTATTTCTTTTCCCATTCATTCCTCATCACGTTTAACAGAGGTTTGAGGGCAGATTCAACTGCAGAAACTTGGATTTTAAGTTTAAGCCATCTGGTTATAAGCTCAAAACCATGTTAGGTCTTTAAAACTTCCAGGATCAATCTCACTTTAAGGACTGGCAGCTTCTCCAGGCTCTCAGTTTCAGCTGTGGCAGGCTGCAGACATCCTCTTTGGGTTATTTAATTGGTTTGCCTTATTAGTGCAGAATGAAGTATTGTTCGTTTATGCTATCAGGCGTTGCACAATTGCTGTCATGACTTATGTAAAAGTGACTCATCTGTTCTACTCAAACATGTAGCAGTTACATCACAGTGTCTGTCCTACTGTTGGATTTCTTGGTACTGAAGGTACTGAAGGCTGCACTTCTCTTTTTCTTTACACGACATAATGTTAAAGTTCAAGCTTGACCCTAAAGAGGGGTTTGGGGGCGGGGGTGTCGGTGACATCAGTCTTTAAAATTTTTCGCACACTGACCCATCAAAGGGAAATATCTCGCAACTGTAGCAGTTTGACGTTGTCTGGTGGAAACCTCACATCTCATCAGTCTTTTAAAGATTAAGCAAACCAGCCTCAATAGCCTCATGACAGGCATGTGTTTATTAAATTACACACTCTGCTTCAAAATGCTTTCTGAGCCCAGGGGTCTGGAAAGCTGACGCAGTAAAATACCCGACAGATTGAATTTCCAGAAGGAAAAAAAAAAGGAAGATTTGAAAGACAGCCTGAACTTGAATATCGAATGAGGTTTTTACTCCAAAAACCACAAGTCAGCACATATTTAGGTGTCCATTCATCTGCAGAGATGAACAGAAATCAGCATTTATGTTCAACATCACGTCTGTAAACTACAGGAAGTCGTACGGGTTCTGTTTTGTGACTGCAGCTCTAGTTTCGCTCTCGCAGCTGCCTCAGTAGAGCCGCTGGAAAGGAAGCGTCCCATTATTTCAAATGAAAACTTGCTGATTACTTTACTTGTGATTAAAAAGGAGAAAAAAGAAAAGAATCCTTCTAGGGAGGATTTTGTAAAAACATTTAAACTTAATTACTAAAAGTCTTACAGCACCAATTTAAACTGAGGTCAAAATACTCCCTGCTTCCTGTAAAGGTTGTGTGTCTGTGTGTGCGTGTGTGAGTTATAAATTGCAGGGTGTTTTCGTAGATTAGCTGCCATGTGCATCAGAATATTTAGAACCTTCAGAGAGTACATCATGTACTGTTCCCTTATTGCCCGAGTGCGCACTCTCTCACACCCTCACACAGTCACAAACATTCAGAAAGCCACTCAAGGATAAACACACACACACGCACAGTTTGGTATAAACACATATATTTCAGTGTTGGGGCCAGAAGATGAAGGCAAACCGCAGACACGCATACCTGCAACGCAAACAAATGAGGATGAGAGGGCGAGAGAGATGGCCGTGATAAACAGAGACGGGTAATATGTAGATGTGAAAGCTGAGAAAGACAAAAGCAAAGGAAAGAGGAAAAAAGGCAAATGAAAGGGGGAGAGGGGAAGGGAGATGAAAGGGGAGAGTGTGGGTCTGTGTGTGTGAGGGGGGCAGATCAGAGTGGGTCTGTGGAGCAATAAAGCGGGCTAATCCTGGTTATGAGCCAGAACACACTCACATAACAAACACACACACTTTCACCACAGTGGCACAGTGACATTTCTAGTTTGGGTTGCATAACCAGTCTCCCCCTCCACTCTAATCCTACTTGTATAACCAGCCATTCACTGCAGTTATATAAGCTCTCTCTCCCTCTCTCTCTCTCTCTCTCTCGCGCGCGCGCACACACACTAACATACTGACACACACCACCTCTTCCCGTTGTGCCCTCACAGGCTGCCAGCTTGTGTAACTTTAACCACTTGATACCGCTGACGTTGAATTCCTTTTTTTATCAGATATGGATTTCAGTCGTTCCGCTTCCAAACGCGCACGCACGATAACCTTCACGTTTGAAGCAGCGTCGCACAAGATGCGACCAGTGACCCCTGTTACTTGACATGAATGTATGAAGGCCATTAAAAAGAAGGAGGGCTTGTTTTCATTGGAATAGCTGCTGCAAGATTTCTCAATCACTTGGCACTTGGGCCGCTGGGCCTGTTCATTCACAGTCTCTCATTCTGTGTGTCTCAAACGCGAAACAGCCCTGCTCACCACGAAAACAGCATGTAATGCACCATTTCTTAAAGTGTTTATCATTTAACCTAGTAGAATTACCAATTTTACATAATTAATAACTTCTCCAGTTTGCAATCTCTCCTCCACCTCCAAAAAATGCATATTTATATCTAGTTTTTATTGTCTCTAGATTTTAATTTTTATATGCAAGTGTTTGTGTACTCTCTCCGGCCTGCGCAGACGTCATAGATCTGAGCTCTGGCGAGGACGACTCCATCGTCCACGTTAGCGAGTCTACAGCTGAGGAAGAAGAAAGCGAGCCGAGCGATGCCCACATCAACGATGCCCTCAACCAGCCGGACGCCCAGGGGAGGGTGCTGGTCAACCTGAACCATCCGACTACAGAGGAAGACATCTTCCTGTCGCCTCAGCTGGCCAGAGCAGTGAAACCTCATCAGGTACTAATGTAGCAGCACCTAGTGTAACTTTTTGAAAATGCCAAAAAAAAAGAAGAATGTATTCATTGTGTTTAAAAAGTCCTTTGATGTCGATTTTGTAAAGCCCCATAAATCCTGACCCCGGAGTTTCACTCCCTCTGCTTTTCTTATGCTGCCTCTTCCTCCTTCTCAGATTGGGGGAATCCGTTTCCTGTACGATAACCTGGTGGAGTCGGTGGAGCGCTTCAGCAGCAGCAGTGGATTCGGCTGTATCCTGGCCCACAGCATGGGCCTGGGCAAAACGCTGCAGGTCATCTCCTTCATCGACATCCTCTTCAGACGCACCCAGGCTCACACCGTGCTCGCCATCGTACCTGTAAGAACCCGCGGGTTTGATCTTGGTGTAGTAGAACGGGGAAAAGGATTCAATAAATGCTCAGATATATGGAAGAAGAGAAAAATCTAAGTGGATTAAATCAAAAGATATAAGTGAATAGATGAATAATAGAATAAGTGCAGGGACACGCTTTGCCTGCGAGCTTTCGATCGATAGAAAGAAAGTGTGTGTAAAAGTTCATGTGAAGAGTAACTCAGAGAAAAAGGCGTGTTAATAAATAATGGTAAGATGTTCTGCAGCTCACGCTTGCATGAATTATTGATCGTATTTATCCTTGAGTTCTATTATCTTAAAATGATTTTGCATCAAAAGGGAAAATGAAACACAAAAAACAGAACACATTTGCTGGACTTGTGAAGCTGGAAGGCAACACGCTTGTTGCCTTTGTTTGGAGTGAGGTTTCTGAGCTGTCACTCTTATGACGGGAACAGAATTCTTATAGAAATTAGATGATAAGCTATAAGAGGGTTTGGTGATTTTTAAAAAATGTATATATTTTTTGTTGTTCCAGGTGAACACGCTGCAGAACTGGCTGTCAGAGTTCAACACCTGGGTCCCGCCCCCTGAGGCTTTACCTCCAGATCCTGATCCTGCAGTGGTGACACCACGTACCTTTAAGGTTCACATTCTCAACGATGAACACAAGTGAGTAACAAACACACTTTTTTTTCTTTTTTTTTAACCTAATCCTTTTTAAGATTGGGCATTTAAAAACAACCACATCTTTGTTGTTTTGCTCTATCACACTAGACAGAATTAAAGTTGATTAAATGTTATGTAATCATCGAGGAAGAACCAAAAAACAATAAAAATCCTGCAGGTTCTCTCCTCCTCACACAGACAGCAGGGTCAAAGCAGTCAGGAAGTGTTTCATTTATCTGTCTTTAAAAAAACCCAAAAAGACTAAGCTGACCCTCTGGTCGGCCTGTGAGCTTAATCCCCGTCTGGCCCGTCCTTTCTCCCGTCTCTCTAGTATCTTCCCTCCCAACAGCTGCTGGATTTCTGCTGGAAAAGATTTTCCGATTCTCACGCGTATGTGAATGTCTGAAAATATTTATTTAATATAAGATAATCTGATATTATTACAGGATTTCCTCCCTTCTTTGACTCATTTTCTTCGCCTTTAGTCATACAGCTCACACTTTTTCATAGGTTTCACTTAAAGGTGCTTCGAATCACATTTAAGCTCATCACTCAAAGGAAAACATGCCTCCAGCTTTCTTTCTCTCTTTTTTTCTTTTTTTTATTGAACTGTAATGAATGTTATCTTTTTAGGAAAACACTTTTACTTTGTGGATTGCTGCCATGCAAAAATATATTTCATTGTCTTACCTTTGAGAAACACAAGCAGTAACCAACCTGATATCTTCTGGTGATATCCAGGAATACTACAGCCAGGGCCAAGGTGGTGGAGGACTGGGCTCGGGACGGGGGCGTGCTGCTGATGGGCTACGAGATGTATCGCCTTTTGTCACTGAAGAAGAGCTTCGTGGCTGGAAGGAAAAAGAAGAGCAAGAAAGCAGCGGGACCTGTCGTCATCGACTTGGATGAAGAGGACAGGCAGCAGGAGCTACTTAAAGGTTGGAGAGACTGGGGATGATGATAGAAGTTGCAGGACAGGAAGGACAGGACGTGAAGTAAAAATGGGAGAAATGCAAAGACTAGAAGTTTCAGATTACAGTGCAAGAACAATCAGAATAGCAAATGAAATTAAAAATATCCTCACTTGTTCTCTGTAGGTATCGAGAAAGCTTTGGCTCGGCCCGGTCCAGACGTGGTAATCTGCGACGAAGGACATCGCATCAAGAACTGCCACGCCAGCACGTCGCAGGCTCTAAAGAACATCCGAACCAGACGCCGTGTGGTCCTCACCGGTTACCCGCTCCAGAACAACCTGATTGAATACTGGTGCATGGTCGACTTTGTCCGGCCCGATTTTCTAGGTACGGAGCAACCTGTGCCTCGTCTCAGCAGACGAGCATTAGCAGTTAATGTCAACACTGCAGCTTTTACACCCTGTGCACATTTCAGGTACGCGGCAGGAGTTCAGCAACATGTTCGAGCGTCCCATTCTGAACGGCCAGTGTGTGGACAGCACGCCTCAGGACATCCAGCTGATGAGGTACAGGAGCCACGTCCTGCACAGCCTGCTGGAGGGCTTTGTACAGAGGTAAGGGTCACTGTCATTGTCCATAAAAGAAAAGCTCAGTGAGATTTTTGCGAATATTGATTGTGATTTGTCTTTAATCCAGACGAGGCCACGATGTCCTGAAGGACCAGCTGCCTTCTAAGGAGGAGCATGTGATTCTGGTGCGTCTGTCTCCCCTGCAGAGGGCCCTCTACACAGAGTTCATGAACCGCTTCAGAGAGGCAGGAAACACGGGCTGGCTCAGCCTCAACCCGCTCAAAGCGTTTTGCGTCTGCTGCAAGGTGAGGAGTGCGAGCGTGTGTCTGGATCTCTTCAGAAACGTTGTTTCACTGGTGACGATAATGACATTTATATATAGTTTTTCTAAATATAAATTTGCGTTCTTCTTCAGATTTGGAACCATCCAGATGTCCTGTACGAGGCTCTGCAGAAGGAAAACCTGGCAAGCGACCAGGATTTGGACCTTGATGACATCACCTCTACAGGACGATGTCCGGCACCAACTAATCAAAAACCCAAGAACCTGGACAACCCTAACCCCGTCGGTGGCCTGAGCCTTAACCAGCTGCAGGAGAAAGCCAATCAGGTCATCACATATGAATGGGTACGTTGGAAGACTATTAGAAAAGTGCGATCCAATCAAAGTTAACAAATGTTTTTACTGAAATTTTAAATAGTCCGTGCTGTGTTCAGATGTGAGAAAACTGGCACATAGTTCCCATCTGTAACCTCACTTTTTTAAAATCAGCGAAACTGCTTATATAGGAAAAACCTCTGAAGCTGATCTGCGAGCAGATTTTACAGTCTGTCTTCTCACACGGACAGGCAAAGGACATCATGACTGACTACAAGCCCGGCATCCTGGAGAACTCTGCAAAGATGGTTCTGCTGTTCCACCTGATAGAGGAGAGTGTCAGGAAGGGAGACAAACTCCTCGTCTTCAGGTAAAAGATATAAAAAGTGCTAGGATGCAGAAAAGTAATAAAAATCTTTACTTTTCAACAACTTTGCATTCCATTACTTACACTCGTGCACCTCATGGGTCAGATTTCTTATACCCCCCACCGTCTGTCTGCCTTCTTGCAGTCAGAGTTTGTCCACGCTGACCGTGATCGAGGATTTTTTGGCTAAGAGACCAGTGCCTCCATCACCCAATGTGCCCAGCAGAGACAGACCCAATCAAAACTGGGTCCGCAACCTCAACTACTATCGTAAGTAATATGAGGTTTTGGAGGTGCGAAACAGCGCTCTCTGTAATATGCTAAACCGAGCCGCTAACTATGCTGTACTGATGAGTCTGTTCTCTTTGGAGAAACTGACTGCAGTGATTTGGGTGCTGCCGCTCTCATTGACTTGCCATGAGTGCTGCCACCTGCTGGTGTTTTTATTTCTTTAAATAATACCTATATGTTGATTTATCATTTTTCTGCAAGCCAGTGTTTTCATTTACAGCTGTTCTATTTGTGGGGTACATGTGTCCTAATTGATTTTTTAAATATTATATTTAAATTATATTCTTTATGTTTTACTAGAAGCTTGAATTTTAAAGATCCACAGATATTTATAAAGATCTGTCATCCAAGATCAAATTACAGTTAATGTTTTATTTTAACTGGTTAGTTGAGCTCTAATAATAAGAATCCTCAGCTGTAACTTGTCTCTACATACATGGTACTTTATCTGTACAGTCCATATAATAGCATATGGGGATTCAAATATTGAAGGATAAAGTTTCACTGTACTGTGAAACAAGCAAGCAAGCGGTGTAAATTCAGAGAAAAACAGGAAGAGAAGAGCTACAAGAATATAAAACTTAAAGAACATGAGAACCTCTTAGATATGAGTTGCCGTGTGATATTTTGAAGGACTGGATGGAAGCACAACTGCCTCAGAGAGAGAGCGACTGATAAACCAGTTCAATGACCCCTCCAACACCTCCGCATGGGTTTTTCTGCTGTCAACCAGGTAACACGCTCTCCACACTAATTATATCATTATTATAGGTCATAAATCTTAAAAGGAGTAATCAGCTTACTGCTGTCCCGTCTGTTCCTGTCAGGGCTGGTTGTCTAGGTGTGAATCTGATCGGGGCAAACCGCGTGGTGGTTTTTGACGCCTCCTGGAACCCGTGCCACGACGCCCAGGCCGTGTGCCGTGTCTACCGCTATGGGCAGAGGAAGCCGTGCCACATCTACAGGCTGGTGTGCGACTTTACGCTGGAGAAGAAGATCTACGACCGCCAGATCTCCAAACAGGGCATGTCTGGTGAGTCGGAAACACGTGAAAAAGCGCTGCAGAGAGTTCCAACGGAGCTGCAGTCAAATAACCTCTCCTAAAATATGTGCGTGGTAACGTTTTAGTTACTTAAAAATGCATTGCATACAGGAGCATTTGTCACAGACATTTTCCTGTATTTTTAACCAGAAATAACTCAAATTTTAGAAAAAGGAGGAGGAAAGGGAAAAAAATAAGGAAAAATTATAGGACATGGAGATTGTATTCAACCTCCATCATCCTCACTTCATGGAAATTTCACTCCCTTCAGATGACAGCTCTTTCAAACATCTGTCAGTGTTGAAATTCACTGAAAACCCCAAGTGTAGGTTCCTCTGTGCGAGCAGAACCCCTAAAACTAAATAATAAGCTCTGAGGTAAAGTCAGAGCTCTTCTGCCAAGAGGCTCTCGTCTAACACTGAAGTGTCTCAAGTGTTTGCTGTAAGCTTTGTCTGGTGAGGCGAATACATCGAGGCCATTCGAATTTAGCCATTTCTGTCTACATTTTTTCCCCCACGTATCCTTAGATGAATCTTTTTCCAAACAATTTTACCTCAATATCTTAGTTCTTCTGCTTTTTTTTTCCCTTTCTGTCAATCAGACCGCGTTGTGGATGACCTGAACCCCGTGCTGACCTTCACCAGGAGAGAAGTTGAGTCTCTTCTTCATTTTGTGGAGGAGGAACCAGACTCATCTAGCATCCATCTGCAGCCCAACGACAGAACGGAGAGCATCCTCAGGAAGGCCCTGCACCTATATCCCCGCCTGATTACAAAGGTATGAG